CTTTCATGAAATTCAAAATAAATGTGCACACAGTGAAATGTTTGATTTGCCATTTCTAGCAATGGCAGCAAAATCTGTTTAATATTATTGAGGAAATTGTAATTTGTAGTGTTTTGCCTCCATTTATAAAAGATGCAGCATCAAAATGACCGTCAATGTTTTCTGTATAATCTTTCCAGAATCTACGTTGGCTGAATACCAACAGATTTATTTGGACAGACGGCCTTCAGGTGCTGTTTGTGTTCCAAAGAGTCGGTAAGATGAACATTTTACTACATTTAAATCATTTTTAAAGCTGACCGAATGCAATTTATTTTGAGTGTCTACTGCTGTCGATAGAGCTTTGTTTAAGGATGTCAAAGATCGGTCTTTTTCAGAACACAGAGGGTAACTGAACAGTGTGTAATCTTAAATGAAACAAGAGAAGCGGTACTATTGACATCCATTACATTTTAGATTTGACACATGCTCAGTTTACAGGAGTTAGTTGTTTAGTGAGAAATGACTCATCAAAGTGCGGCAGAGAAGACGTGTTTTTATAGGCCAACCCCGGGAGTTAGCATCTCACTGGTTCCCTCACAAAATGATTACTGCAGAGAATAAGCGCCAACAAACGTTTATGATACTTACACATTTTGTTCAGCGAGATAATCTTCACAATTGAAAACCACTTTTATGATATTTGAAACGAACTACACAACGGTCACATGAGCGCTCGTACAAAGACAACGAGGCTGTGAAGGCGGACTAGTAGACGTGATGGCGTTTTGTAGCCATTTGTTAGCAACCGCCTTTTTTAAGACACGTTAAAGCTTCACAATTCCTGAGAGGGGTATTTACTGATGCTTTTTTAATGTCGTAGAACAAAACGCTAAAATCTGTTAAGCTTCTGTTCACCACAGAACTTATTTCAGGCATCTAACCAAAAACACATTCAATATAAAACATTGAGCAGAAGTACAAAGATGCTGACTCGTCTCAACATGGAGCGTTTTCCTCTCAAAGCAGAAATCTTTACAAGAGAGTGAATCCATGTTTGAGTGACACTATTCGAGCATGCAGTTGTGTTTCTGTGACCTGCTCTCAGACCTCTGAACCGCTGAATTTCAGTGTGATTATCACTGAAGAGGGTCACTGACAGACAGCTGAGAGTGAGTTAGTCTCTCCTCTCCAGCAGCACGCTCACATCGCCACGCGGGTGTGATTTTCATACACGTATAAGCTCTTAAGTGGATAACAGGATTTATTGTCGAGCTGTTGTTCTTCTCTGATCCTGTATTAAGTTTGAGAACGTTTTATTTGTCTCTCTGTGTTGTCTGCTACTTAAGACCCACCCAGACGGTTACTCAGCGTGTGATCCACTGTTGCATCACAACATCTCTCTCATTATGAACCTTCCTGAAGACGCAATATGAACCCCGCTGGGCTGAGCTGTAGTTGTAAATGCTGGAGGGGATTTCCTTATTTCTGTCTTTGTACAATCACATAATATCTCTCAAGTAACCTCAATCTTTGTCCAAAGTCAGAACACCGGAGCCGCTCTCTTGGAAATGAATGATGAATTATACAAACTAAAAAAGGGACACTAATATATGTATTTATACAAATGCGTCTCTGTAACATGGGATTCAGTGTGATGGGCTCTTCTAACTGAAGCAAGTTGATTTTCTTGACAATACTGAAAGTTGATGACATGAATTCTGAAAGAACATGATGAGAGTTTGCAGAAATATAAATAATGCGTGATTAGTTCTTCATTTCCCCACTGAACAACCAAATTGGGTTAATAGAGATTCAAGCGAAATGATACACTTCATTTGTCTTCGCATTAGTTGTGCTGCTGACTGCGTATTGAAAGCACCGTCCTGCATTTGTTTAAATATATTCTGAAAGCAGATCTGTCAGCACCTGTAATAAACTAACATCACTCAGAGCACCTTGGAACGGACTGAAAGGGTAGAAACAAGTGGATTTGTTTGTATTATTTAGTGGATTTTTCCTCACGTATGTTTCTGTCCACAGCCTCTGTGTTGTACTACTACTTGTACAAGAGGACGTCGGAGTATCTGGGTGACCCTCGCCTCTATGAGGATTCGCCGTGGATGCGGGAACTGTTCGCTCGGGTCAGACAGTGACCTCACTGCAAAAATAACCCAATAAAAAGGTCCCATATGGAGAGCAAAGGTGTTTCAATGAAGTGTGCATTTGGGGAAAAGATGGCCACTTCAGTACAGTGTATTTAAATGTGTTTGAAGTGCATTTGCAAGACGATACCAATGGCATTTTGGGAACACTTGAAAAAAGAAATACAATCAGGCTTGAAATGCATTTAATGTAAAACATACATTACAAATAGATTTGACAGGATTTGAAAACCAGAAACATTTTCCACAGAACATTTCCCTCCAAAGCAGGAAGGATTGTGCCAAAATCTGCTGAGACATTTTAGAACAACAAGGTCTCATCAGGTAAGAATTAATGAAACAATTTAAAATATTCTGTGATAGCTGTCACCACATGCCGTTTGTCTTTTCTTTTGTTAATGCTGTATATTTTTTAACAGACAATATTACAGTTGTTTTATACACATTTGAGACTATTTGTGTTGCTTTGAGTTTGTTTGTAATGTGGATATTGAACAGCGTTTGACTTTATTGCAGCTTTGACAGTTGCTGATCTCCACAGTCTGTAAAATCTGACCGTGTTTCATTTTCCCATGAAGTGTTAAATGCTTAAAGTACAATAAAAATGTCTTCTGAAACGTGTGTGTTTTGTATGAAATTAACTTTACGAGGTTGTTTCTAAGCAGGACATTAGCTGAGTGAAGAGGAGCTGATGCTTCAGCTCACCGAACTCTTTGAGGAGCGACTCCTTCAGCAGGTTGAACTGCATGCCAACAAATGAGAAAAGGTTTTCATGAGATGAGAGTTTCTTTATGTGAAATCATGTATTTTACTCACTCAAGGAGAAAAAATTGGGTTTATTTGTTCACTAAAAAAACATACAAATTTGAGATTCCTCAGCATTATCAACAATTAACAACATATTCAAAAACTGATCCCAGCTCTACTTTAAACAGCGGATAAAAACACCAGACGAACTCACCCTTGTTGCGTATTTATAGAACTGCTCAGCCTCCTCTCGTTTGCCCGACTGAAAACAAAAGGTTCATTGCATGGTTGAACATATACCATGTGAGATTCTGTTTATGTCGTGCTACTATAGCTACTGGCTGATAGCCGGTTGTTTGGGAACAGGGACGTTAATACATCCACCACGGTACAGGCTTTACAGCATACAGCCCATGGATGTATAAGGTAATAAAAGCGATGAATTACAGCCAATATAAACATTACTACAGAAGCACACAGCTAGAAAGAAGCCAGCAGGACCGGATGTATCACATAAGAGTACAGAGCAGCATAATCCATTGGGTCTGATGCTCGCTCTTTATGCCGAGTAAAATAACTCTGGATTCTTTTAGTACACAGTTATCTAAATGAGGGATATTTATGTGTTCGTACAGCAGCGCCATCTAGTGGCGGTTGTCAAAAATGCACCAGAGTGTCGTCTCTTTGCTACTACACTCTTCGGTTAAGCTGAACTTGCTTTTCGTCCTCGCATGAAGTTGAGTCTCCGCAAAGAATATAACTAGGTCATGTGATCCATGAGCAAAGGATGCTGGGATACTAAGGACATAAGGATTCACCAGCTGTGCCCCCCCCGCCCACCACCCCGTGTTTGGGTAAAGAAAAGCTACATGTCTTTGGGATATTTTTCAGGGATTCTTGTAGTGTCGGCCCATTGTGTCCCACTCTGTCTTGAAATACAGACTTCAAGGGAGGCCGAGCTTCCCTTGAACTCTGTATCTGTTCGAACTGGGACACAGCTAGTGTGTTTTTTCAGGTCATCACTCACCCTGAGGCAGATCAGAGACAGGTAAGCCCACACCTCTGCATTCTGGCTGTTCAGATGGTTGGCCTCAGTCAAAGCCTCCTCAGCGACACACAGCTCCTCCAGCTACAAACACACACAAGCACAAGCGGGGCTCACCTCCTCCCAGAGTAAAAGACAACAACTCCACAGCTGCAGGAACTACACAGTATACGCTCGGGTAACCTGAGCTTTGTTCGCAGTAGAATGAGGGCAGTACTTGAAACCTGACAATGCTGCTGTGTGGACATGATTGTTGTGTGAAATCACTGAGCCCAGCAGTATGAAGAAATAACCCGTTAAACACCGTAACGCCACAAGACACAACGCTTGAATGAGACCGCTTTGTATCCTTTCAAAACCAGAATTCAATTGCGTCTAAATATGTGGAGATGGGATTTTACTCGGTAGCAGGCGGTGCCCAGGCCCAGCCAGGTCAGGCAGGAGGCAGACTCCTCACAAGCCCGCAGGTAGACACCTTTGGCTTGGTCAAACTGAAAGATAAGAGATTGATTACACTGTAGTTAGTCGCTTCATACAAGAGGTTTTGCAGTGACATGCAACAACTTAAATGGGAATTCTGTGATTTGTGCCCTATGACACACCCACATGGTTGTACACATTTAAAGCTTTATCATAATCGTGCTGCAAATTTAAACTTGTCCAGGAAAACATAATATTCCTGACCTTTTTGGCCAATTTTTGCGATTCTAGAAAACCTTACTATGACTACAATACTTTGTAATAGCAGTTTGTAGTTCTTCCTAGACGTGGCAGATTCATCAGAGACAGCACACGAGTGAACTATCTGAGTGATCAGAGGGCGCTGAAGCTCGTGTCGATATCTGACCTTCTCCTGCTGGAGGTAGATGGATCCCAGGCGGAGGAGGACCAGGTGAGTGTCTGACGGCGGCTGCGGGAAGTTCAGGCTCCGCTCGTAGCTCTCCATCGCATCAGTGAACGCCCCCCGCAGGAAGTGAACGTGACCGTTCAGCGCCCACGCATCTCTGTGAAACAGCACATCCTCGAGGCTGGCGGCGGCACCGCAGTAGTCAGCTCTGAGCAGCTGCAACTGGGCCAGGAGGAGAGGGTAGGAGACGCTGGGACCACCGTCTAACAACAGCTCCAGGGACAGAGCTCGCTCCGCCATCTGACGACAGGAAGACAGTGACTGCTGATGACTGTTTGCAACCACAACATGGACCTTTTGTTGTTAAGGATGCACCGATCTGACTTTTTCAGTGTCGATATCGAGTACCGATCTGATACCAGTGTTGAATTAATAAACATAAATAAAATGTATTGAATTGTTATTTATTATTAAAATAATAAATCATACACCAGCAACTTGGTGAAAAATCTTCTAAATTTACAGGAATCACAATTTGAGTGTAAACCTTTTAAATTGGTCAAAACTTGAACAGGAATCAGAATTCCAGTTCATAATGTTTAATTATTCAAACATAGAATTTGTATTCGTATCAGTATCGGCCCGATATCTGAGAGTCCCTAACTTTTATGGAAACTTTACTGCTGACAATTGTTAGCATGCCAATATAAATGAAATATAAATGCGTAATCTAAAAAAATTGCAGATTCTCCTTTTTTCTCCTGTTTTTTCCATAATGTGTTTTGACTTTCTGAAAACCGATTTCCACAATTTATAACCTCCACGGCTAACTGTCAGCATCAACAGTGGTCATAAATAACTTCTGCTCCATAACTCACTAAACTAATCTGAGTACTGAACATCGTAGGTTGCTTTCATTCATACTTGATCACTGTGAGTCCAGCTGGCTGGTCAGCTTGACAAACCACCAGCCACTGTGTGTGTGTGTGTGTGTGTGTGTGTGTGTGTGTGTGTGTGTGTTTTACCTGCAGAGCACAGTTCTGCAGCAGGAACTGAACAGTCGTTGTGTAAATGGTGGAGGAGAGTTTAGCTGGAGCTGATCTGGAGCCGACGCGCTGCACTGGAGAGTCTCTCTGCACCTTTGAGTCCTGGTTCTGGTCCTGGTTCTGGTCCTGGTCTCCACACTTTGGGTCTGAGAGAAAACGACGGTAACATTGTCAGGTAGCGAGCATCGCAGACAGAAGAGATTCTTTTTAGGTGGCTCTACCAACAGACTGCATCTAAACTGTGTATAAATTAGCTTGAGCTTCTCAATGCATGTGACACCCTGATATAAATCAACATTCTTTATCAACATTTGAGGTTTTCTGTCCTGATAGATTAAATCAAGTGCACAAGAATAGAAATAAAACTACAACTACAATCCATTACTATTTGAGAAGTTGTCAAACATGCACCATTTCCTGTTATTTGAGATTTCATAGTAAATGTTACAAATAAAAAGTATTTTGGATATGATTATTAACAGATCTCAGTGTGTTTCGTCATGTATTCTCTGTGGCGTTGAAGACTCATGACGAGATCCATTAGAACAGGAGTGGCCTCTAGCGTTTCTGTTTAAAGTGTTAATGGATTTCATGCCGGCTGCCTGGTTTCCCTCGACGTGACGAGAGAAAACCAACACATGACTACATGCAGATGATAATAATCCCACTGCAGCTCACCTTTCTTATCGGTGGGAGACTGACATGCAGCCGTGTCTGTCTCCTCATCCTCTCGCTGCTCTTTCTCCTCCTCCCCCTCGTCTTTCTCCTCCTCCCTCCCGTCTTTCTCCTCCTCCCCCTCGTCTTTCTCCCTGTCTGTCGTCTCCTCCTCCTCCTCCTCCCCCTCGTCTGTCTTCTCCTCCCCCTCGTCTTTCTTCTCCTCCCCCTCGTCTTTCTCCCTGTCCGTCGTCTCCTCCTCCCTCTTCTTTGCTTCGTTTGCCCTCAGCTGCCTTCTGGCCTCCAGGAAAGCCCTCTCAGCCAGGATGGAGTCGCTCTGCATCTCATGGAGCAAACCTGGACAGCAGAGCCAGAAACGTGAAATGAGACGTGGAATGCAATTCCCAGCATGCATCTGTGTTAACCACTCACAGTCGTTTAGGGTCAGAGATTGTGATGGCTGAAATTAATGTTTTTCAACCAAAGTTTCGAAAAGTTCATTTTTGTGCCGATTACTTTTGAATATTTACCATTGTTGTGTATTTGCATTCGTTTTTTTTTTAGCATTTTTAAGAAGAAAACAATGCCAGTCACACACTCTGGTAAAAATAAACAAGGACATCTCAAGTGTCTTGTGCAGCTGAAGCCTCACAGGAGCCTCCGTCATACTGTGTGTAGACAACCCTGACTGGATAATATCTGATCGTTGGCAAAAATAGTGACGGCAGCAGCAGTCTGTCCAGTACGTGTTCTTTGTTAGCAGCAGGTTCACAGGTTAAAGAGCAGTGAGTAGGACTACATCTCACCCAGCAGCGTCCAGGCCACCACACTGGGCGGGTCGATGCTGGTGGCCCTCTCCAGGAAGGTCTGGGCCTCCTTGTGACACTCAGACATCGCTGCCAAGACCCCGCACATCATCAGGCTGGAGAAACAAGAGAACACAGACACACAGGTCGCCACTTTAACGATGTTGCTGTGTGGCTTAGCACTGATTGGGAGCAGAGAACTGGAACTATGTTTGTGGTGTCCTGTTACACAATGCCAATAGACACCCGACAACTATTCTATTCTCATTGATATATACAGTAGACAGACTCAGGATCTCTGTGTTGAGCTCATGGCTATATGTATATATATATATATATATATATATATATTCATATATATATATATATATATATCAATGTTTTAAGTGCAACTGGAGCATTTCTAACCTGGGCTGGTGTGCCTGCTGGACGGACACGGAGTTATGGAAACACTCTTTGGCCTTCATGTAGTCTCCGGTCTGCATGTAAAAGCTTCCCCACTCAAACCTGTGGGAGGGCTCATTCGGGTGCCTCACCACCAACTGCAGGGAAACAGAAAACAAAAATTCAGTGGCAAGTTTAGTTAGTTATTTTACCAGCCATTATCTTATCTAGTCATTATCTGCGTCGAGATTATTATTAATCACTGCACATGACTTGTGGTCACTTAGGACAAGAAACAAACACCCAAAAACACTGATATGCTCCAAGGATTACAAGACAAACAGAAGCCAGTGCGGACATGTGTGGACATGTGTGACAACTAATTCATTTAGAGGCCTGAAAACAGTGGATGAATAGACATCTGTGAAGTTCTTCAGCAAGTAATTTTCCTCATTCATTATGAGTGAGGAGCAGAAGTGTAAAGAGAGGCGAGTATGCCTTTTAGTGCTGTTGTACCTCTTGGTAGTACTGAACAGCCTGCTGATAATCCCCAGTAAGCTGAGCCTCTCTGCCAAAATGTCTGAGCTGAGAAGAACTCAACTGGATCTCATCCGGGGAGTCATCATCAACGACGTCATCTGAATAAATCTGGTGAGGAGAGGATAAAAATGAACATAAATATATATACACACACAGTAGAATCACATACACTTTATGTGTGGGTGCGTGTGTGTGTGTGTGTGTGTGTGTGTGTTACCTTGTTGATAGCTATGTGCATCTCGTCCACCAGGTATACATAGAGCTGGCTGACAAAAAGTTTTAGCTCCTGAGGGTCAGTGAATGACTCAGTTCGCTGCATCTTGTCGCGTACGATCCTCACCACTGCATGCTACACACACACACACACACACACACACACACACACACACACACACACACACACACAAACATGTATGTGGTCAAATAGTTACAGAAGAGCCACCCCCTCAGTAAAACAAAAACCTGATACAGATCGACTCAGGGTTTCTGTGAGAATGTATGTTCTGACCTTCATCTGTTCCTTGAAGGCGAGATATCTCCCAGAGTCATTGAGCGATCCCATCATCTGAACATTCATTTGCTCCCGGCTGCAGTTTTCCGGCGGCTTGCATCTGGCTCCGAACAATTCCCCGTACTGGTGCCAAACATTGGTCACCACGTTGCCCACCTGTCTGTGGAAGTCCAGCACTGCCTGAAGGAAAACGCACCGGTGGAGAGAATTCAGCAAGGAAGCAAACTCTCCGCTGGTGTGTGGTTCATTTTGTGCGTGTGTGTGTGTCTCTGTGTGTGTGTGTAACTGTGTCTGTGTTTTACTCTTTCTGCTATGCCGGGACCCACTGGAAGTGGAGTTCTGGGTGGGATCAACGCCTTCACCCTGCAGGAAATAGAGACACATCTCAGCACATACTCAGCCGTTCGTGCAACGACCAAATGTAATAGACCAGAGTGCATAAAAACGGTCCCTTAAAATGAGTATGATTCATTCCAGCAAGACAGAGTAGCCAACAGAACCAGGTCAAACTTAGTGACCACGGGACACTTTAAGGATATATTTAACACATTACCTTCTGGACAGTTCCTCTGGAGATGGTTTGGGTACCAGCGGTTTCTCCAAGGCTATCTCAATGATAATATAAGTTCTGGCCTCCCCATAAATCTGCAATAAACAGGAATTAGGTGTTAATATGCTATAATCTGTATTAGACTGTAACTACAACCACAGTTTCCAGTAAATGATGGTGTAGTACTGAACAGAGTTGTGTTCTTGTTCTGTAAAAACTTACACTTTCCTTCATATTGACGTGCGGCTCACTTTCGGCCACCGCGCCGGCTGGAGTCATTTTGCACTGACTAGCAGGTTGCTGCCATAATGGAAACAGGTAACATTAGGGTCCCACCTTCACAAGCACAACCTGGATGTAAAGTTTAAAGGTGCTCTATACGATGTGCAGCACTAATGTAGCAGCAAACAACTATCATCTAAAGATGTAGTGGAGTCACTCTCCCTCTATGTGTGCTGTTAGCAGAGCTTCACCTTGCTGTGTTGACATAGCCGGGCCGGCTCTGCACTGCTCTCATACGGAGTCATAGCACCCACCCTCTGGTTAACCCCTCAGGTAAACACTGTTAGCTCTGTTAGCACTTATGCCATTGTTTGCACTGTTAGCACCGTTAGCTGCTAGCCGCTGTCTCAGCCTTCACCATGTTGAGAGCCGATAGAAATGCTCCCAATCTCGTATACAGCACCTTTAGATACGTTCAGGGCTGGTGAAGCAAACAAAAAAACTAGCTGCTTTTGTTTTGCTCAGGTTGGAAAACTTTTCAAAACGTTTAAGGGCCTATTTTATGTCTCCATGCTCCTGAAAATTCTCTAAAATAAAAGTTCATGTATAAAATCCTGACCTTTTTGGCTGGCTCCTTCGATCTCCCTCCATCCAGTTTCTTCCCTGCCTTCGCCTTGTAAGAGCCTGCAGCTGAGCCAGCACAAGCTTTGACCTCGTTGGCTGCAGCCTTGGCCTGCTCCTTCAACACACTGACGCTCTGCTTGGCCTTTAAGTAAAAGATCAATGAGAAACAACTTATTGATGTACTGGGCACGCAGGGGTGGAGCTGATATTGATCATTTCATCAGACTCTGGTGAAGAAAGCCAACAAACGTATTTCCAGAAAGTGTTCCTCTAAAAAAGAAGATGGAATTCCAGTCGTGTACATCCAGTAAATCCAGACCCTGATCAAGAACTATGAATAAATGAACAAAAATCTAAAGCTAATGAGTTGTACGTGTATGTTTGTGCCACCTTTTTCAGCAACTCAGCCTCGGAGAAGGGCTGAATGCTGTATGCTCCTCGGATGCGGCGGACTCCAGGATACAGCAGCCGCCCCATGTCCACAAACGCCACACCATGGAAGGGGATCTCTGGGTTCCCCTCATCCAGCTACACACACACACACACACACACACACACACGCACGCACACCCGTGTAACTAGATGACACATTGCTTGGTCTGTCATTGATCATTGCTTCAGGTTTTTTTAAACTCAGAAAACATGTTTAGTGCTCACAAAATGTTTCACATTAGCTTTGGTTAACCTTTTTTGCTATTTTGCCTGAAACGAATATGAATGTTATCCCACATATTTCTTATATTTGGTTCAGGCTAGAGAGCGAACACTGCAGGGGACATTAGTACAGAGAGAGAGAGGGACTGATTCTGAAACTATCTTTAGATAACAAAGCTGTCTCACCATCTTTACTGCCTTTGTCGACCTCATTATCTCCACCGGCCACAGTCTGCTCTCAGTGATCTTCTGCTGCAGCCTGAACATTGAAGCACATTTTTTCAAATATTTTTTCTGTATCTTTATTTCTAATTCCGTGTTTTATAAGGGTGTTACTTCGAGATCAGGTGAATTCTGTCACTTCCTCATTTCATTTCCATTTGGCCTTCAAACGCAATGAATGGGGGAACCAAGTTCTACAGTACACTCTGCTATGCTCCTTAAATGTGATTATTTTGAAGAAAGCCCGGAGATAGCCCCAAAAAAACTGATGATTGACTTTCCCTTTCTAGAATAATCTCTTAAAAGTCATGACCAACAGGTATGATGGTGAGATAGGAGGAGGAGGAGGAGGAGGAGGAGGAGGAGTGTGTGTAGCAGACCTAGTGGTTCCTCCTGCATCCAGGAAGCAGCGCATCTCTGTGTCCCAGCTCACCCTATTCTTCATGGTCTCCGCCTCTTTGCGAAACTCCCGGTCCTGTAGGAACATTTCGACGTTCAGCCAGCCCTGTAACTCTGTGTGTGAGTTACTGTAAAGGGAAAATTCTGCACCTCTTATGTGTGTGTCCAATCAGGGTTGATTGGTAAATGTGGTCGACTGAAGCAATTAACTCCTCGGTTTATTCTACATTGACCGAGAAAGACGAGTCTGAATTTAGTTTAAGTTCAGCTGTGGGGATTTCACGTGAATGTACAGTCGAGTTTGCAGCTTGTGCACAAATAAATGCTGCGGCTCCTCAAGACCAACAGAAGTCTCCTGTTGGACTGAAGGGTGCAATGCATCCTGGGACATGTAGGCACTACTGGCAGGGCTGTGCAAGCAGGAGCAATCAGCTTTCTGGGTCAATATAGCTCACACTGAGAAATGCATTACTTTAATTGACAACATTTATGATCAACACGGATTGGAAATCCACATAAAAGGTCCCTTTAATCATTTTAGATCTTCTACAGCAGGGGTATTCAATTAAAAATTCACCGAGGTCCACTTCGAGAGAATTTCCTCACGCAAAGGTCCGGAACATCACAATAATGTCTAATTTGCGCAATGATTTAGTACCATATGTATTGAAGTAGCCGAACAGTTGTATTACCGTCTGTATGTAGTCAACAACTGGCTGTCAAATGAATTATAGAAAGTGCAATTGAATAATATCTCAACAATATTTGTCAGTTTTCAAATTTAACTGGATGAACTATAATTAATAATCAAATACATGAATTTAAAGAAATTAAAATATAGACTGGATTAAAGAATAAGTTACATAACGGAAAGCTTTTAAAAATGGTGCATCTTAAAATAAAGTACTTCATTTTAGAAAGATGAACTGAATTGACCTGCAGCTTTAAATTCAGTTCATTCAGGTGTGAAGTCGTGTCACTTTTTTTTTCAGGTGCAGGTGAGATTTGGGTGTGGCTATAGTTACCACACAGTACACGGGATGCACTATATTAGCATTTAAATATGAATTTGCAAACGTAGACAGCTTAACAATGTTAAAAGGATAATTTGTGGAGTTACTTGCAACAGCTTGAACTTTTATTGTGACTTGTTGCATGTATGATTTAAAATATTTGCAATCTGCAAAGCAATAGACACATTTTTTTTGTAATATACAGTGTTATTTCATTACTGTTAATGGGTCATAATGTGTGGAGTTTTGTGAAAACTGTGCCATGGAAAACATGGTGAACGCTGGACTAGCAAATAGTGAATTCATAAAAGAATTCAAAAAAGAATTCATAAAATGCCATTGAGAATAGAATGGAATGCTGGATGGAACATGGATGGAAAGGTCTTTGTGACACTTCAACATTCAAATTTATTAGGAACATGCATTGTAGTGGCCATTTGTCGACTTAATCAAACTTAAACAAACAATAATCAAACGCCACTGATGCACCGTGGTCGGTATTCTTACGCAGCCAGAAGAGAGTGGATTGTCCATGCAGGATTCCGATTTTCGTGTTTATTAAATAAAGCAAACAAAACAAGCAAACAAACGAACGAACAAAACTCCTGTCGTGCTGTCTCTCCTGTGATGTGATATGCTGGTAAAAACTATACGCCCACCCCGGTGCATGCTGGTCCTGTCCTTCTACGCATATATATAGCAACAGGTGCCCACAGTAATTACCCAAAAAACAATATAACTAAACAAATTACTATTGAAGAGAAAAATAATCTTAATATATGAAACATCTACAATAATTAAACAATGCTACTTATAAATGAAATAACAAAATACAATATCAAATAAATAGCTCCAACATTCCGGCCCCTAATTGTGTATAATATCACAATTATTATTCTCAAACGAGCTATTCCTACAATAAACATGACCTAAAGTTAATCTTCTTCTTGACATCTGCAACAAACAAGAAGAGAAAGATTAGAGAGAGAGAAAATAGAGGTAGAGAAAGATAGAGGTGGAGAAAACATCAGTCCATGATGTTTAGTCTGCTGCTTCCAATAGCAGACAGAGCTTCGTTACCGGCCTCTCCAGAATGCTGGTCCTGGTTTGAAGTCGCACAGACCGCACCAGCCCCTTTGTATCTGGTCTTGCATCCAAAACTTTCCCCATTATCCAAGATCCTCTTGGAGCTGTGGCGTCCGCAATAAGGACAATGTCTCCAGCAGTGAGGCTTCTTCTTGGCCTTGTCCATTTTTGTGTGACTTTAAAGCTTTGAATTTTTCTTTCCACTTCATGCTCCTGATTCTTCAGATTGTCCTTTCTGACGCCTGCAGAAGCACAAAACTCCTTTCTCTTCTGTCCCAATAACAGGAGAAGTTCCTTGACCTTCAGAAACCAAGCGACAGATGTTTTTAGTCTAGTCCAAGATGAAAAATAGTAGATCAGGTGGTTGGTGGCATTTTCCAAATCCTTGATGATAGCATTTACCATTAAGTCCCTTTTGACCTCTGGGTCATCTGCAGAAATCACATCAAGCTTCACATCCAGTTTAGGCCACTCCTTCTTTGAATGATAGAGAAACTCAGGTCCATTTATCCATCTCCTGCTTTTCAGGAAATCCTCAGCTCTCATTCCTCTTGATGCTTCATCTGCTGGATTCTCCTTGGAACCCACATATCTCCAGTGATCCACATCTGCTGCTTCTCTGATGAAAGAGGTTCTGTTTGCCACAAAAATGTGGAATTGTCTGGTTTCACTAGAGATATATTTAAGGACTGTTGTGCTGTCCGTCCAGAAGACTGACTTCTCCAGCTTGAGTTGCAACTCTTTCCGAAGCATTTTATCCACACGAACAGCAAGAACTGCGGCTGTGAGTTCCAGTCGAGGAATTGTGGTCTGCTTTAGTGGAGCAACTCTGGCCTTTCCCAAGAGAAATGCAACATGTACTTTATCATCAGTTTCCAATCTCACATAAGACACAGTTCCATAGCCAACTTGACTGGCATCCAAAAAATGGTGAAGTTGTGCTGTAGCAGGTTCTCCAAAGTCTCTGGGTTTAATACAGCGGTCCACTTTGAACTCAGACACCCTTTGCAGGTCCTCAAGCCAATTAGACCATTGTTCAGAGAAAGAGTGGGGAATAGCATCATCCCACCCCAGGTTTCTCCTACAAAGCTCCTGCAGTAACAGCTTGGCTGGCATACTGAATGGGGCTAGAAATCCCAAAGGGTCACAAAGTGAGCTGACCACTGACAAAATGCCTCTTCTGGTGTTTGGCTGTTCTTGTAATGATGTCCTGAACTTGAACTTGTCAGTTTCAATGCAGCACTCTAGTCCTAGTGCTCGCTCCATTGGAAGTTGGTCTGTATCCAAATCCAGTTCCACCATTTCTTTTGGTCTTTTGTCCTCAGCGATTGACAGCAGCACTGTGCGGCTGTTGCTGATCCATCTTGAAAGATTGAATCCTCCTTTATGACAGAGAGCATTCAAATCTTTGATCATTTGCAGTGCCTCCTCCTCTGACGCCATGGATTTCAGGCAGTCATCCACATAAAAATTATGTCTGACTGTATTTGTCACTTCTGGAGGGAAATGTTGGACATTATCATCTGCAGTTCTCCTCAAAGCATAATTTGCACAACTTGGTGAGGATACAGCTCCGAAAAGATGTACTTTCATCCGATACTCCAGTGGAGACTGTGCAGTGTCACCATCAGACCACCAGAGGAAGCGGAGAAAGTTGATGTGCTTTTCTGAGACATGAACTTGATGAAACATGGCTTGGATGTCGGCCATTACTGCAACGGGCTCTTGCCTAAATCGGAGGAGGACTCCAATAAGAGTGTTAGTATGATCAGGTCCCTGCAAGAGCTGGCAGTTCAGTGATGTCCCTTTAAAAGTTGCTCCACAATCAAAAACAACTCTCAGTTTGCCTTTTCTGGGATGATAGACTCCATGATGAGGGATATACCACACCTTTCCATCACTTTGTTCGAGTTGATCAGCAGGTACCATCTTAGCATATCCTTGAGTTATCATATTGTTTAGGAATGCGGTGTATTCCTCCTTAAATGGAACACTCTTGACAAATTTTCTTTTCAGGCTTCGGAGGCGCTGTTCTGCAACACAGCGATTGTTAGGCAAGACAGAATTTTCCTGTCTGAAAGGTAAGTCAATACAGTAATGGTCTCCAGTTAACACTGTTGTGTTGCTCATAACATTCATGAACTTGATGTCTTCTCTGGACATTTCAATCTGCTCCTCTGATGATCTCTCATTAAAGTCATGGTTATACAGTTTAACCAGCATTCCTTGCAGATGTTCCACAGATATTCGGTTGGCTGTTACAGCAGGGCAGCCACTCTTACTCCTACTGCTTCCGCCGCGAAGTGGACCATTAATGACCCAACCAACTCTGGTTCTGACCGCATAAGGTCCTTCATCCTGGCTGTTTATCAGCTCCCAAGGCTCCATCACTTTTGGAGCATCAGTTCCAATTAGTAGCTCAACACTTGCGTCAATGTCATGGAGCTTAACATCCTTGAGATAAGACCATTGATCAAGATCCTCCTCTCGTGGAACGTTGAGTATAGAAACAGGCATGCTCTTTTGCGTCAAAACATCAGGTAACTCAATGAAATAATTTCATTGATAAAGTCTCTTGGCTGCCCCCTGGTGTATTGTTCGAGAAAGTGTAAATAGTCACTCCAATTAGTTGTCTTCTCCTCCACTCCATTTTCAAAAGCTCTGATGAAAGACCTGTACTGAAGAGGGTCTCCATCAAACACAGGAATATTTCTTACAGGAAGGACAGAGCACAGATTTGCTGGACCAGCAGAGCAGCGATGTCATTTTGTCTTTGCATCACATTTACAATGTCATTCTGATGGGGTTGAGGTTGCACAAGTCCTGCTTGATTTTCATTCACAGTTTGTGTTGCTTGAACTGGAGCATCAGTCTTTAATAGCATCTCATCAATTTGTGTGTTTGACCTTTGTTTAGGCCTAACAACTTGTGGTTGTGTTATGGGATCAGACACAGAAATAACATCCACTTTAACAGGGACAAAGGTGTAGGCATGGGGATTTAATTGTCTTGCTTCTTTGGACTTGTTCCTTTCAAAATAAGAGTTCATCCCATCCGAACATTTTGAGCCACGCTGGGATGAATTGATTTCCAAGACATGAAGCTTTGCATTTGTAGCTGCCAATTCCGTTTCAAGTTCCAATTGTTCCTTTTCTCTCTTCAACTTATCAGTTTCTTTCTTCAACTTTTCCTTTTCTCTCTCCAACATTTCCTCTTGAGCTTCTATTAAATGTTTCCTTTTTAGAGCAGCAACACGCTCCGTCAGTGCTGCCTTGTCGGCCTCAGCTCTAATGTGTGCAGATGATGTTGATGAAATCCGTGATAGCTGGGAATGTGTCTTTACAGATGTCCTCTTTACACTTGACACGTTAGAAGCACTATCTTCAGGGTTTATTTCATCTGCAACACTTTGGTCGTCGAGAGTCTTTATTTGGCTGCACATATGGGTGACCCATTTCAGACAGCCAGCTTTTTACCTTTTCAGTGAAGTCACAGAACATTGTCATTTTTTCTTTGAAGTACTGATTTTGCCTTGTAACTTCATCTTGAGGTAAAGGTAAGCTCACAAAAGATGTATGCATGTCATTTGCATCTTGGTAACACTTGATGAACGTAGAAAGCTCAGCATTCACTGAATTTACATTTTCATTGGAAGTCATTAATGCACATATGTTTCTCAAACACTTTTTGGCTTGTTTGCATTTTGCAGTCCTTTTTTGCTGGTACATTTCCGTGTAGAACTCCAAGCCTTTAGAAGTCATTTTAATGTCTCTTCTTGCTGAAGGCGTTTCAACATCCTTCGCCTGAACGTCAGACATTTTGAACACTTCTTCCAAACTGCTTGTCGCACATCAATCAAATCCGTCGGACGTAAATGCAGGTAAAGTGCAGCAAAAAACAGCAAAGGTGCTAACAGGCCGGTCAGGTCCAATTCACCACACACACACACTGAAGTCGGGTTTTCTAATGAATGAAAGCCGCAGATAGTGGTGCGCGGGTGTTGCGCAATGTTCATTTGTAGCGATTCAACGCAGTCAGGTTTAAACATCCAGAAGCATGTACATCACTGTGAATACGGACTTTTAAACTCCACTCGTTTCACCGTCTTCCTATACGGCAGTATATATCACGTACCCGTTTCTTCTGAGAAGTTTCAGCGCTTTGTTGATCCGCTCCAAAGCAGTTGTCCCGCTGACGTTGAATCCAAGAGTGATGAATGAAACAATCCTCTTTGATCATCCATACGAAATCCAAAACGATCCAATGTCCAACGATGAGGGATCGGTCCTTTGAGTCCAAGGGCGAAGTTTTTACTTGTGGAGACGCCACACAGGAGCGTAGCGCCAGTTTCGCCAAACGGGACCACCTCCAACTGCTGTCCCGTAAGTGACTGTCCTCAATTCCTGTATAACTGGGTGAACCAACGATCTCCAGCCATCTTGTCAT